TTGGGTGTTTTTGGGGTGTTTTTGGGGTGTTCTCACCCGAGCCCATCAGGATGTCGGGGTTGCCCAGGGTCAGCGCCGCCGTGAAGTCTCCGCCCCGATATTCCCCGTCCAGCTGCCAGTTCACAAACTTGGACTGCTGAGTCTGGGCCAAAAAAACGGGAATTTGGGAAAAATCCCCAATTTTGGGAGAAATCCCGGTTTTTGGGGAAAAAAATCCCATTTTTTGGGGGGAAAAATGGCGATTTTTGGGGAAAAAATGGCTTTTTTTGGGGATAAATCTTGGTTTTTGCAGGGAAAAATCGGAGGTTTTTGGAAAAAAATTAAATTTTTTGGAATAAAACCGGATTTTTGGGGGGAAAACGGAAGTTTTTTGGGAAAAAATGGCGTTTTTTGGGGATAAATCTTGGTTTTTGCAGGGAAAAATCAGAGGTTTTGGGAAGAAAATTGGGGTTTTTTGGGATAAATCAAATATTTGGGAGGAAAATCCTGGTTTTTGGGGATAAAAATCCTGATTTTTTTGGGGGAAAAAATCCTGGGTTTTGGGGATAAAAATCCTGATTTTGGGGGGTAAAAATCCCAGTTTTTTGGGGAAAAAACCCCAGATTTTGGGTAAAAAAAATCCTGATTTTGGGGGGAAAAATTCCGGTTTTTGGAGGTAAAATCCCAGTTTTTGGGGGATAAAAATCCTGGTTTTTTGGGGAAAAAAAATCCCAGGTTTTGGGTAAAAAAAATCTGATTTTTGGGGGGAAAAAATCCTGATTTTTTTGGGGGTAAAATCCTGTTTTTTGGGGGGAAAAAATCCTGATTTTTTTGGGGTAAAATCCTATTTTTTGGGAGATAAAAATCCCAGGTTCCCAAAATTCCACCTAAAAACCCCAAACCCCCCAAAAATTCCCAAAACCCTCCCAAAATTCCCCCCAAAAAACCCCAAAATTGCACCCAAAATTCCCAGAAATTCCCGAAATCCTCCCAGAAGCTCCCGGAATTCCCGGAATTCCCAGATTTCCGTACCTGGAAAGCCACCTTGGAGCGGATCCGGGAGCTCACCTGGTGAACCACCTGAGCGTTGAGGCTCCCGCTGTTGTCCATGTCCCCCACCAGCACTGGGAATGCCTGGAATTCCAGGGAAATTTGGGGAATTTTTGGGGAATTTTTGGGAATTTTTTGGGAATTTTTTGGGAATTTTTTGGGGATTTTTTGGGGATTTTTTTGGAATTTTTTTGGATTTTTTTTGGGAATTTTTTGAGATTTTTTTTTGGAATTTGGGGGGATTTTTTTGAAGATTTTTAGGGAATTTTTTGGGGGGATTTTTGGGGGATTTTTTGGGAATTTTGGGGGGATTTTTTAGGGAATTTTTTGGGATTTTTTGAAGATTTTTTTAGGAATTTTTTGAAGATTTTTTGGGAATTTTTTGAGGATTCTTTGGGAATATTTTAGG